TGTGTGTGTAATAAAGATAATATAAATTATTATCAAAGTAAATTATTTATCATAAAATACTTTTACGCAATATTAAATTATTAAGTTTTATATTTAATGAATACTTTATGGTTTGGAATTAAAAATAGTATTAATTAGTTATTAAAATCGTTGAATTCAAAACTGCAAAACGACGAAGGATTAGGATGTTTTATTTTTCATTTTATGATACAGATGTGGACAGATATAATTTAAATAAAAACGCATGATATCGACGTACAAATTAAACATTCGCTTACAATACAAACATTACTGTCCTAGACTGAAGAAAGTTGACAGAATTTCACAAAATATGGCTCGATCCGACACTGCAACATATCCAGCTTGAATTATGCATCTGAATTTGTTTTGATAAAAAAATTACGTTGGTTTATAAACATTATAAGAGCACTTTATTGATCATTTTTGGTGTTGTTTTAGATCATCAAAATCCCTTATTTATATTTCCCTATCCTAGGGATACTACGAAGGGCATTCAAAAAGTTCCCGGAATGGGCTTGCCGTCACCAAACTAGCAATAATACAGGGTTCATATTCTTGTGGTAGGTGACTGCGCCTGTTGGCACGCGGGCAAAATTGGAGTGGACATGTCTCAGTGCGCAGTGGTACCACTGCTCCGTGTCACGTGGAGGTGAGGGTGAGTCCGCCGGCGTAAAGTCGCAGTTCGAACGGCGTGCGAACCTTAAGTTCATGTGAAAACTACGAAAATCGGCTTCATAGACACATAGACACTACCGGCCCTGCTACACCGTGGCCTGGACTATCTGTTACTGAAAATTTCTATGTGCAAGTTTTGCAGAGGTTTGGTGGTGCGGTTCGAAGGACGCATAGGACCAAGTGGAGAATGGTGTCTTCATCACGATATAGCGCCAAGCCACACAGCGCATGTCGCTCGGAAATTCATTGCCGAGAACATACCTGTCTTCACTCAGTCACCGTTCTCTCCGGATCTCGCATCCAGAGACTATTGGCTTTTCCCTCCTCTGAAAATGGGCCTCAAAGGGAGACGCATTGCAACCATGGAGGACATCAAAGAGAATGCGACGGCTCAGCTCCGACAGGCGCCAAAAGAAGCCCTCTACCGCTGTTTCCAACAATGTCAGGAACGATGGAGCTACTGTAAGGATGTGCAAGGGTCCTTCTTAGAAGGTGATTAGGTTGTTTCCATAGGTAACACAATTAACAAGCTGAACTACGATTCCGAGAACTTTTTGAACGTCTCTCGTATATAAATGTCCGAGAGTTAGTCGAGTGAAATTGGTACATGAAGATTGTTTTTTATTCAAAATGTTTTGGTCGAATGTGTCATATTACAGATTAAGTAGAATGACGCAAGCTAAACTCAGTTCATGCTGCGATACGATTTTATTCGTTTTATCCTGACTTCTCATACAAAAATTTATCTTATTTTTGTTATTCTTTGAAGACATAACGTTGATCCCCGCAGCCCAGACGCAGCGACCGGATCGATGCCACCGCTATGCTCTACTCGGAGACGTGCACCCACGGCCATCTGATCCGGGCAACTCAGAAGGCCCTCCAACTATTTAGTTCATATTGCATGAAAGGAAATTCTTCGTTTTTGTATTCTCGTATTCTTTGTCTTCTAAAACTTCTGCGTTTGCGCCCCCACGCCTTCCCTAACGTCTTCCCATATGTCTACGACTTTCTCGTCGCCTTCGACTTTCTCTACGTCTACATCTTTCTCTTTGTTTTTCTCTTCGTCTTTCCCTACGTCTTTCCCTAAGTCTTTCTGAACATCTCTCTACGTATTCTCCTACGTCTTTCCCTATGTCTTCCTCTACGTCTACCTCTATGTCTTCCTCCACGTCTTTGTCTACGTCAGCCCAAACACATCCGTACACCCGCACACTCGAGAAGTTACTCAAATACTATAAAGGGTTATCTAGTTCAACTTACTTCTATTACAAGATTCCTACACAGTTTTCTGATATTCAATTACGTGTAAACCTACTTGCTCGGTTGTCCTGTATTATTATTCATAAAATATTGTTGGTTTGTGATATGATCAGATAATAACAGAAATTATTAAAGAGTTTTCATATATGCATCATTCTCTAGAATTAGGGAATAAAGTAATGGTTATTACATTAACACTATTTACTTTTACTATCCCTTATACATACGTATATACAGAATAATATACGTAGTGTAGGGAAAGTCAAGTAATGCTGCGGAAAATAGAATTCGAGATTTCAACAGAAATACACATTTTGGGGTCCCCTGATACCGTAAATGTGTTGTTTCTTTTTTCCTTCAAAACGTCCGTCCGTTTGTCCGTCTGTGAACACCAATATACTAAACCATACATAGGATTTCTTCATAATTGATATTGATCTGGTTCGACTCTAAGCGCTGCGATTTTGAAAATCATTCTTCAAAATTTGGAGGCACTTGATATGAAGCCCCCCGGACTTTTTTAAAATTTTCTCAAAAACCACTCCTAATTTTTTCTTTAAATTTCTTGTAAAAATAGAGTAAAATACACTTATAAAGGTGGCATAGGTTCGATTTTTCAGGGTTACATCTGAAGTTTCGAAAATTCAAATATGAACTTTTTCGAGCATCTTACTTCAACTACAAAATTGCTGATAGTTTTTTTTCTTCAATTAAAATTGTTCTCCATAGTGGTTTCTTTCATTAGGGTCAGGTACATTTTTGTAAGAGTTTTAGTAGTTTTCGCGCAGTATTGCGAGCAATAAGTGCAATTTTTTTAAAAAAATACAAAAACAAGATTTTCTAAAAAACGACACCAATTCTTTTTCTTTTAACTTGTTGATTGGTTCTTTAAACGTGCGATTTGTTCATATTATTTTATTTATGAAAATATGTTCTTAAATATTGTCAAATAAATTTTCTCGAAAACAACGGTTTCCTGTGAAATCTAGCTCGAAATTTCATTTTCAGAAACGCTCAAACATATTCTTTTCCAAAAAGACATGGTGATTTCTTCTTTATGATCATGAACATTTTTTTGAAAATTGTGTTGGTTTTCGCGCAATATTGCGTGCAATATGTGCAGTTAAAACAATTTAAAAAACTATTTAAAAGATTTTCTCATAAACGACTCCATTTTTTTTTCCAAATTATTGGTAGGGATAGTGCTAAATGTATTCTCTGAGATGACGTAAACCCAGCAATTTGTAATCACTATTGTTTTTGCGTGTGTGAGTTAGAGTGTTTCAAATTACTTCCAATGAAAGTTTGTGAAAACGAAATAGTTTCCAAAAAAGAGTTTTAAATTTCGAATTTACAGAAGCGCTTAAATTTTTTTAAAAGCAGCTCCAAATTTTTCCAAGACAATTGCCATTTAGGACGATTTTTTTTACTGTTCTTTAATAATCCTAAAATAATACTTTCGCGCTACAAGTAGGAGACCAAAAAATTAAGAAAATGTCAAAACAATGTACTTTGGGCAGCAATAGATGGCAGAAGGCAAGAGTATGTGGCAAGTCAAAATAGCTAGCTGAGACCAAAGGAATTAGAACATGAAAGCCTAATAATATGCCACTAATACATATGTGCTATTGTGTAGCTTCCCTAGTTTACTCTCTTTCCTTACGAATGCTTCATAAGGAAAGAAAGTTATGTAATAGTGCACCAGAAGATTGCGAATTTTTGCCAGAAAAACTCTGATTAATTTTGATTTAATTTAGATACAAAATTACAAAAACAAGATTTTTCTCAAAAACGGCTCCAATTTTTTTCTTTAACCTTTTGGTAGGGATAGTGCTACATGTATTCTACAAGATGTCATAAACATCAGTTTGCTCTATTCTTTTGTTTTTTCAAAAAACACAAAAATTTAAATTTTGAAGTTGCCTTTCACGTTAATATTTACATTAGTGGCGATTTGTCCACATTTTTTAAATTTATGAGTACAACGGCTTTAAATAATGTCATACAAAGTTTGTTGAAATCTCAAACGTTATCTGTGAAATTAATTGTGAAGTTTATTAGTGAAATTATCTGTGAAATTCAAAATTTCACATTTTCAGAATTGCTCAAATGCCACTTTCTCAAAAACAGCTCCAAATTTTTTCTTCAAACTTTTCGAACAGATAGTGCTAATTTTACTCTTAAAGATGTGGAAAGTTAATTGCAGAGTATTTAGCTGTTTTTTTCAAAAAGTACACAAATGAAAATTTATTGAATGATCTCTCTCACTGTTAATATGCATATTTCCAGTAATTTGTATTTACTATTGTATTTGCGGAAAAGATTTTAAAATTTATGATTTACAGTAGCGCATAAACGATAGTGTTTCAAGAGCAGCATCAAATTTTTCAAAGACTCTTGTCATTTTGGACGAGATTTTACTACTCTTAATTATCTTAAAATAATATTTTCGGTCTACAATTAGGAAACCAAAAAATTAAGAAAAGTGTCAAAAAAATATACTTTAGGTGGCGATAGATGGTAAAGCCGAATAGCTAGCTGAAACCAAAGGAAATAGAAAACTAATACAGGAAAGTCTGTGCCATTCTTTAGCACCACTAGTTTACTTTCTTTCCTTACAAATGCTTTATAAGAAGAGAAAGTTATGTAAGCGTGCACCAGAAAACTGCAAATTGTTGCAAGAAAAACTCATTAATTATGGTTTAATGAAGAATTGTTACTACCAATTTTTTTCGTTTTCTTATCTTTTTCTTAACGTACAGTATTACTTCTTGTGTGAGTACATATAGTATATCCATTTATATTACACTTTGAGTTGCATTTTGTTCTGAAATATTCTTTCTAGAATCCTACCTTTTTGGATTATATTCTAAGATTGCCATTTAACATAAGGTGAGAGGTTTTTAGAACTGACGTGTTGTCCATTTTATAACATTTTAAAAACTGAAGAAGGATGCTCTTTCTTGATTTCAGAAAGAATAACAATGTTCTGAAAATGTACAGTATAGTCATAAGTTGGAAGATAGGTATTCTTTGAACATACTGTTTTAAAATGGAATCCTTACAAGAGAATATAAGATGTTAAATTGCTTTATTATTGACAAATTGATCCATAACAATGAATTTCTTGTCTCATTTTTAGTACAATGTATGTGTGAATTTGATACATTTTGATATTAAAAATGTTTAATATTATATCTGTGCATCATATCTTGTTTTATCTAGGAAGACCATATGTGATTTGTTTCCCATTAACACTTATAACAGCCTGCTGGAATATCCACAGTGATATTTTTTGTTGTTGGCTTTTTGCTAAAATCATGAACTTTTCCTGATTTTATTATTTCCACAAAATGCTTGGAGAGTACTGATGTTTCTACACAATGAAACTTCACATATTTCTTCACAATTTTTGTGGGGTAACAAGAAGGTTTACACTTTGTTAATGCACGTTGACTGAAGCATGTTAATTTTTCTTGTTGAAGTACTTGATTATATCTACTCATACATCTGGGATCTGACACTTTGTTTTGATCATTGTGGCAAGATGCAGTCTTTGGAAATTCTGAGTGAATCAAGGTATCTCCTGTGAGTGAACATGACTTATTCATACCAATCTTGGCCCATTCAAGATCTTCTTCTGTACAAGTGCTATTATTTAAAATTGCGTAACTGGCAATAAATTGCTTTGAATCAATGATATTGCAGTTTGTAGGCAATAAAAAGTCATCATGTTCTTCACCTGTGAATGTGCCACACAATCCTAATACTTGATTTCTATATTTATTTCCTATCATTAACTGTACTCGGATACCATCAAATACAATTGATATATTTGTGAACTGTAATTTGATAATTTCATCTACTACAGTGGTAAGTAACTTTTCATTATTATTTTGTTTATTCAGAGCAATTTTTGTTATTTCATTTTTTGGTACGCTATACTGCTTGTCATTAACATAAATGTATTTGTATGAATTCTGTTTATTTAACTCTTGAGTAGTAATATCCACCACATCATTTCCAACCATTATTCGCATTACCTGTAAAAAAACAAATTCATCATAAAACTCCTTTCTCAACTCCTTTTATACAATGTTATGAATGTGTCTAGACTTACCCTTCCTTCATCAACATCACGGATTAAAACCAAAATATTATTTTTACTGAGTTTGGGATCTGCTACACTTTGATACGTAAGTGCCATTAAAACAAACCAGCAGGAACCAAATTTTATTGAGTAAGTTCGATTGTCAAAAGTATTCAGTTTTGTTTTGTCTAGTACACATGTTGCTATAAAAAGAGAAGCAAAATAAAAATGAACATATATGAATTTTCTACATCTATTTGTAGTGCAGTATATTTCATGAATAAAAATAGAAAATACTTACGGTTATATTGATTTCCTAAAAGACTTTGTGTTGTACGTGTCATTGCAGTTTCTGTAGGATGAATTTTTACAACTGATCTTAATAAAGAGTGTATTCTAACATTATTCAATTTTGCTTCTATATTAGGGAAGAGAATGGAAACATTTGCAGACTCAAAATTAGGAGCAAACTGAGTAAATAGGGAAATTTGATTTTCATGATCAGACTGTCTTCGTGGGTAATAAAAAAAACTATTATGATACATATGAATAAAATTTAAAGCAAGCATAAGCTCCTTATTCATTTCATTTAAGTGTTCAACCTTTATAGAACAATTATGTTGATCAAAGTAATTTGCATCTTGTGATGCAATTTGACAAGAAGGCAACATGTAGTTGCCGTCTTCCATTTCTTTCTGGCAGCTTTTAGTTTCTGCTTGTTCCAACAGATAATTTTTTCGCTCAGCAGATCTTTGAAGTTTGCACTGCAAGCATAACCATACTATAATTAGTTTAGAATTCGTGCATTAAACATTTGCACAAAATTAATGAAATACATTAATTACCTCTGCTATTGCTATTGGTTTCTCTGAGGAACCTCGGAACAATGTAGTTTTAAACTCAGATTGAGGATTGTTTAATATGGAATTTGAAAAGTCAAAAAGTGGTGCTTTTGCCCAGGCACCATCAAATTTAAAGGTTATCTGAAAATTTTGGAATACGTACAGTAATTAATATGTTTATGAAATTTTTATGAAGTTTTTGCTACATTTATAACTCATTAATGTACCATGGGAGAAAGATGGGAAGGTTTTGCTTTGGTAGCTTCATATATTGAAAAGAAACATTTAGTATTGTTTGAGAATTCGCTCCATGAATAATTAAGATGTGCTGAAAGTTTAGGTGTTTTATCTTCATTTAGTAAAACATTCCACTCCATATTGATAGAATTAGAACCTAGAAAATATTAATGAACTAGTAAAAATTTAACATAAAATAAGAATTGGAACTTTGTTATTCTATGTTATATTATGTTAAAAATAAATTCTTGGATTTTTCTCACCTTTAACTGAATTTCTATTCGATTTTTGTTTGCTTGTTGAAAAATTAGGTTTTGAATCTGACTCAGCATTTTTATTCCTTACATTTTCTGAGGAAAATTGATATATTATTAAAAGCATTTGATGAGTAGTTTATTTTCTTACAACCTACAGAAAAATTAATTACCATATAGGGCCTGCAAGGTGACAGAACTTTTATCACTAGGGAAATCACCTCTAAAAATTATATTCATATTGTGTACCGATTTAAGTTTTTCAGGAAGACGTAAAATGGAGTTCAAACTAGTATACATATTTCCTTGTGCAGAGTAAGGTTCATTTTCAGTTTGCGGTAAACTTGCATTCAACAGTAAACCTGCAAACCTTTTAACTATCTGAAACGAAAAGCAATATTAGATCACTGAATATTTGTCACTTAAGTCAATTATTGTTTTCTTTACCTTTTGTTGAAGTAATGAATCAGAAATTTGCACAGGTAATGAATCTGTACTTTGTTTTTTAATAATATCAGAAAAAGCACCATGTTGTCTGTACATTTGGGAATTGAACTGGCTATAAAAGCCCACAGTGTTGTTTGTAATGGGTGAAACTCTTGTTCTGATTTTCATCTGTTGTTCATTTAATGTGGCTGTTTTATTTACACTAATGGGGATGTTAATCAACAACTGCTCTTTATATCCAACAATATAGCGATTTCCATTAAATGGAGTCACAAATCCAATATCAGTATGCTTGTTTAAAGCGTATCTGAAAATTAAGTAAAATGTAAGCATTGAAGCAAGAATTTGAAATATATTATCTGTTTGAAAGTAAATTTACCCTAAGTTTAGTCGACCCGATAGTGCCATATTTTGAATCGCTGAGTTCAAATCATCTGTTGACTGTTGACTCTTCTGAAAATTAAATTTAACTTTTCCTGACAAATGATATATTGTAGGTACTCTGTAGAATACTTGAGTTATAAATCCTGCAGCATTAGGCACAGCATAAGTAAATACATCTCTTTGGAAAAGTTTACTGTAATTGAATCTATAACCAGTCTTCAGTGATTTTACTGCCTGCTGCAACCCTGTAACATGAAAATCAAATTATACTAGTATTTTGATATTATATAGAAAACTATTTTGCGTGCATGTAGACTCAAGTTGGATTTTCAACGAAGACACTTCACTTACTGCATTAATGTATCATGATAAATATTGAGAAGATATTTTAATTTAATGCATAGCTCCAGAGATGAATACATATATATATTGAACGATTCATTCTTCTTCATCATTTAGTGAAGAAATGAACTTACTGCAGCTGCTACTTAAGCTTTTTTTAAAAAGCAGAATCAAAAGATTGAGAGTTGAAAGGCACCAAGCCTGTCACTTAGTTTCCTTTAACATTCAATGGAGAGTGCATGCACATAAGGCAAGAGGTAAACAATTTTATGTTTCAATGGTGAAACCCAGTGAACAGTGTAAACAGAATGGTGACACGGCCTGTTTAGTATTTGACTATATACAAAATTTGCCTCTTCCCCCATTCCTGAACAGGAAGTTTTTTATTTTAGGCAACTGTAGGTAAATATATTTTGCATACATAATTTGCACAAAGGCACATGCAAAATGTGTATGTATCATGAAGGAATTACAAAAAAGGAAGCGAATGAAGTTTTAGATTATATCTATGATTATTTTTCAGCAGATATTAAAAGGCTGCACCTTTATCCAGTAAGTTTCCCAGCACAAAACTAAAATCATTTGTTCATTAGAATGTCCCACTTCTCAATTCAGAACCATTCCTTCTTTACTTGTGACAGACGTGTGACAATTTACACACACATGGAGAATTATCAAATCATTGCAACTTTGAAAAAGAGCCTTCTAATAAAAATGACCAATCCAAGTGACATGTATAAACAAATGATGGGCAAAGAAATTTTTTAAAAAATGCACAGTGATTAATCTTCTGGAATAAGCATTCCAATGAAAGAAAAGTTTTCTTTTCTCCAGTTTCATTCCTGCAATTTGAATACTCAGCTTCCCATCCTGCCCATGTGGAAATGTGCCCATACATTAATAGCTTTGTAGAGAACACTTTCAACCTATTTTAATCTGCCTGAACAGAAGTAAAATATATTTTTGCAGGAATAATGCCCGCCTAGGCGTAGTCGACAGGATTTCACAAAATATACCTCAAGAATTTTCTACTTTTTATTAGATTTCTTTATTTTTTCTTCTTATTCTTTCTATTCTTAATTGGTTATGGGATAGAGTTGGTTGAATTAGGTAGTAATTTGTAAGGGAAATAATAATAATAATAATAATAATAATAATAATAATAATAATAATAATAATAATAATAATAATAGTAACAATAATAATAACAACAATAGTAGTAATAATTATAACAATAATAACAAATCCGTGGGAGTAGCTGGTCTCCTATCGGATGCGTCCCCAGGTGGCGGATCGGGGAATGCTCTTACCGGCCATGCCAGAGGGTAGGTGGGAAATAAAATACCACCCGTGGACCAAATCCAGACACTGGCGGCAGCGTTAAAACGCTAGGGGAAGGTGACCCCGAAAAGAAATCCACGATGGAAGGTCCCTCAGGATCAACCGTTACGGTGCAGGGGATCGGAGCCCCAGTACCGGCAGCCGGGGGTGGGTAAGCAGGCCCCCGGAGGTCGACAACCAGCGACTGCAATCTCAGATACGTGGACCGCTTGGCGTGTTCTGAAATACTATACTGCGACAAGCGAGGCCTAGAGCAAGCAGGTTTTAACTCCTTTTCTGGGAGGTCGAAGCTGCGGAGATCGCCTCCAAGTACCCCAACCACTCCAGGGACACCTACCGACCAGCGGGAGCGAAATCCAAGCACGACTGCGGAACGAAATGGCACGGCGAGGGAGAGACTAGGACCTGAGACAGGAAAAGTACCCGCAGAATAAATGACTTCAACGAGTGTTTTGACGAATAATTGAAAGACCATACAACTACTGGAAGAACAGCAGATAACTATCATTGATAGCCTAAACGAAAACCTCAAGACGATGGAGGCATAAATGCAAAAAAATAACCCCGTAAGCGTTAAGAAAGCTATGTTTAAAGTCCGGGCTAACATCGAAGCATTAAGATACAGATGGCAAGATGATCTAGAAGAGAAGACAGTTCCAAAAGGCCATGCAATTCTTAGTAAAACGAGAAGAGGTCACTGGCATAGAAAAAAATACAGTACCCACCACGGGCTCAAAGGAAAAAGAGAGAGGCACCCAGCCCACCAGAGGAAGACGTTAGAAGAGGGAAGAAAGAAAAACAGAAGGCTGTGGCAGAGTCAACAGATGTCACCTGTGACGCCACAAAACAGCAGGAAGTGGGGGTGGAGGGAGATGAAGGATGGCTGAAACCACCGGAGTAAAAGAAGAAAGAGGCAAGAGAAGAAAAAAGAAAAGAGAAAGCGAAAGCCGATCAAAATAGGCCAAGAAATAAAACCCTGAACCAGGCCATCAAAATCACTGCCAAAGAGGAAAAGACATATGCTGATATCCTCCCAGAGATGAAAAGAGCAGTCGATCCAAAAGACCACAACACAATCGTTAAGAAAATAAGAAGAACTCAGAAACAGGATCTACTAATTGTCCTGGGTAAAGAAGGGAACACATCATCATTTAACAATGCACTTGTAAAGGCTGTCGGGGAGAGTGCTATAGTTAAAACACTCACACCAAAAACCCTTGTAGAAATTAGAGACATTGACGAGACTGTTTCAGCAAATGACGTAGCAGCTGCAATCGGGAGGGTCCTAGACACACCGACCGAACAAATAAGTAACTATTGCAGACTATATAAGGGGTTTGCAAGCACACAAACAGCGACAGTCTTGCTACCTACAGATCTAGCCTCACAACTACTAAAGAATGACAAGAGTAAAATAAAGACAGGATGGGTCAACTGCCAGATGCGCGAGAAGCAGCAAGAAACAAGATGCTTCAAATGCCTAGAGTTTGGACACATATCCACCAACTGCCCGGGCCCTGACCGTAGAAATACATGCTACAAGTGTGGAGAAACAGGGCATCAGGTAAAAGACTGCAGCAGGACACCCAAATGTGTCATATGCAAGGATAAAAATCTAAATGATGGTCACATGCCAGGAAACAGAAAGTTCTCCTCATTCAACGCCGAAATAAACACGCAAAGTAAGCGACAAAATAAGTTTCCTACAAGTTAACCTAGGAAGGAGCAAAATCGCACAAGATCTACTTGTACAAGTTGCAACTGAAAGAAACGTTGATTGTGAGCGAACAACCGACAAAAACACGTGGTACGACATGTGGTATCAGGATGCTACTGAAAGATCCGGCGTAATACATAATAAGACGCTGAATATCAGGAACCGCAAGAGAACGAAATACGAGTTTGTATGGCTAGAAGTGGATAAGATGAGAATTTATAGCTGCTATTTTTCACCGAATGATACGCTAGAAACATTTCAGAAAGATATCGATGAGCTGGAGGCTAGCTTGAAATCGTCTAAGCGCGAGGTATTAGTGGCAGGCGATTTCAACGGTAAGCCGTCCGAATGGGGAGAGACGCGCTTCGATAGAAGAGGAACTATTATATGTGAATTCATTGCAAGAAATGATCTGATCATCTTAAATACTGGGGATGAGTATACCTTTCAACGTGGAACCGCATCATCTCTTTTGGATTTGACAATAAGCTCCACCAAGCTAGCTAAAGGCATCACTGATGGGTCAGTGCTCGACGAAGAAACCCTGAGTGCCCATCGGTACATGGTTCGACTCCATTAACGAAGGGGCTGCAACATGTCAAAACGCGATATAAAGGAAGACCAACTTGGAATCCCAAAAAATTGAATGAAGACAAGGTCCTTGGAAGAATCCAGGTTGCTGGTTAACATGGGTAGGACAAAAGAGGCGGAAACACTTGAGGATATGGTCAAGGCAACGGAGGAAATAGTAGTAGCAGCTTGCGACGCATCCATGCCTAAACGTATATATCCGAAAAGGAAGCAGCAAATGTATTTGTGGACACCAGAAATAGCCGAACTACGAAGGAACTGCAACAAGGCAAGAAGAATAGCGACAAGGGCCAAGACGAATCTGCGCCTCAGGGAACAGTATAACGAACTGTCCAAACGGCTTAAGAGAGAAATAAAAAGTAAAGACAGATGCTGGAAAGAGCTCTTAGAACAGATAGATAACGATCCATGGGGCGTGGCTTATAAAATAGTAAATAAGAAATTCAGGATGGACTGGAAGATACCTGGATTGAATGACCCACAATAGATGAGGAAAGCTATCAGGGACCTCTTTCCCACTAGAGATCCTTGGACGATACAAAGACAGAGCGATTTCACGGTTGACGCAGCAGATTACTTCACGATAGACTAACTGAGGGCGGCGAAAAGCATGAAAACTGGGAAGTCCCCAGGTTTCGATGGAATTCCCTATGAAATACTAAAAAATAGTGGCATAGGAGTATCCGCAATGCCTTTTGTCAATCTATAACCGCTGCCTTGA